CTGCTGAGCTGTGGTTATCTTATTTTTGCATCATGTGCATGCTACAACGTTACAAGTTACAACGTTATAGCGAGGCGTAGCGCGGTAATCACGTAAATAGCGCTGTAGCGGCCGAATTTGCCTAAACGTAGCGTCGCCTTCCCTAATACGCTATAACCGTGCTATAACGGCGAAATAGCGTGCTATTTTTTTCGTTGATGATAATTCTCTCAAGGCGGTAGCGAGTTGGGGGAGGAGACAATGGCATGAAGCCATCTATGCAGCCGATGAGATCGACAAACAGATTCTCTAGGTGACACAGGTTTCCCAGAGAAGAGCATAGAGCATCCATGCGTCTCTCCCAGTCATCCTTACGAAAGCTGCACGTGAGAAATAGAAATTTCAGATTGGTAAGCTCTCCAAGGCCCCTGATATTATCTAGCTTGTACAACGCAAAATCAAATCCAAATAGATGCCGTAGGGATTTCATATTGCCAATCCCATCAGGTAGTCTCGTCCAAGCTTTCAGAAACATCAAACGGGGAGATGAATTATATCTGACGGAACCCTGTCACAACTAAACAGCTCAAGTGTCTCCAAGTGTTGAAGCACTCCAATCTTTGTTGGTAGCTGGTATGAACAGCCATCACTAATGCATAAATATCTCAGCTGATAAAGGTTACACAGTCCAGTGAGGTCGACTTTAGCATCATCGAGGTCAATATGAACAACTCGGAGGAACTTGAACTCTGACAAAGGAGGTGTAATCTGAGAGCTCCCAAAGAACATAACCGACCGAACCTGTGACATACTAGTATTTGTCGATACTATTTCTCGGCCATTACTTGCACCATCCAAGCGGATAGACAGCCGACGGACCTTGCATTGCAGTCTTGTAAAGGCATGTGGGTCATCCACTATAGTGAGAAAATTCTCCTGTGCTGACTTAATCAAGATAAGATCAAGCAACATATCATGAACCTTGCATTTTGTCACCGACCCTCTCTTATCGAATTCTATAGGTTGAATAAGGCTTCTATTCACAAGCTCATTGAAATAATTTCTTGCAACCTTCTCCACATCTTGTCCATTTTCTATACTGATGAAACCTTCAGCCATCCACTGGCGTTCCAGATTAGACCTCTCTATTTGGTAGTCCTCCGGATACATACCAATATACAACAAGCATGTCTTCAGATAAGGAGGAAGATCTTTGTAGCTGAGGTTTAAGATTTGCCTCATCCCGTCAAGCATGTGATTGCTTTCCGAGCCCATAGAATCTTGTACATATTCCCACCTTTCCTTTTGGTTGCAATCTTTATTTGCTAGCATACCAGATATACTAATAACTGCAAGAGGTAAACCACCACATTTTTTGAGAATTTCAACCGAAATATCTCTAAGCTGGGGAGGGCAAGCTTCTTTCGAGCCAAATACCCTACTGAAAAACAGCCTTGTTGAGTCTTCGTTGGTGAGGGGCTTCATTTGTAAAATGCAATCACGGGAGCAACATGTCATAGCCACGTCTTGCTTTCTACTACTCTGCTAGCAAGATCATTTTTACTAAAAACACATTTAATAATATTCCATGCTGATATATCCCATATATCATCAATTACCGAAAAAGGCTTTCGCCCCGCTTTATAAATAAAGCAAACTGCCACAAGACATACAACCATAACAGGTCCACACACACACACCACCCAAGTACCACAACAAAGTATTAAGGTTCTGCTGAGGGCACAGCTCAACAAGCCCAGAAGAAAGAGAAAAAACAAAGCCTGCCCAGTGCAGGCGATCTAGTCAGGCTCCGGCGGAGGCGGCGGCGGCGGGGGCGACAGGCGGACGGCCATCGAGCGGAGATCCGCGATGAAGGCAGAGATGGCGTCCCGATCCAGGGGGCGGCTAAGCGGCCGCCAAAGCTGCAAGAAACCCGAGAATTTGTAGAGAGCATCAGTAGCGCGACGAAGAGGAGTACGCTGGATCACTAGCTTATTGCGAACGGTCCAAAGCGTCCAGGAAAGGACCCCAACCTCGAGCCACCTAATGTGGCGAGAGGACGAAGGGGACAATTGGAGTTCAGCAAATAAGTCCGGGAAATTGGTGTGGCACCAACTCCCACCGACAATCTCACGAAAGCAGCTCCAGAGGAACCGGGCGGAGACGCAGGCGAAGAAGATGTGGTTGGAGTCCTCGGGAACAGCACAGAGGGGGCAGATACCAGTGCCCGGGCCATTACGCTTGCGGACCTCCACACCGGACGGGATCCGTCCACGGATCCACTGCCACATGAAGATGCGAATCTTCAGGGGGACGCGGACGGACCACACCATCGATAGGGGAAGGGGAGCGGAGGAGGGGGCAATGGCCAAGTATAGCGATTTGGTAGAGAACTGGCCCGACGGCTCCAGGTGCCAGCGCACAAGATCCTGATCCCCATCCACCACCGGCTCATGCAGAGCAACGCAGTCAAGCAACTCACGCCAGGCGGCGGATTCCGCCGGCCCAAATGGCCGACG